CTTAATATACTAAAGTCCCCTCAGACATGACTTCTGTGGAGCGACAGACTGACCTGCAGTTGGAGTTACTTTGTTAAACAAATCAGCTGCTTCACCTAATCAAATTTAAATCCTCCGCCAGCTCAACTACCAAGGGTGAAGTCAAAGCTCGTATCTGGCACAAGACAGTAAAACCAGGGGCAGAAACATGAGACAAAACAACTACGCTGCCAGTTTATGAGTGTTGGAGTCAATGGAACACACCCTACGGTGTTGCAATGGGAGGACTGTCAGTTACACTGAAATTCTTGCTAAATAGTTTCTGGTCTGGTAATGTGCCAAACATTTATCACACTTATCAACACTTACAGTGAAAGAAAGCCACTGATGCACGAATCTGATGAGACTACTACAGGAGAAGGACTCGTGCACTCATCTAAATTTGGCCTTTGACAAAAACAGCTCATAATATTACAAAAACAAAACTAATACTGAAGCTAACACAAACTAAACTTAAAAATACATGTAAAGCAATATGAGCAAACCAATTTCATACACTAACCTAAACTAAACTTAAATGAATAAAAATGAAAACTAACTAGATGTTGTAATATACCTCTGTGCTACTCATAGATTCCCCTCTACACAATTTTGTATTTGTGTGTGTGTGCCTGTGTTTGGGGGGCTTGCATTAGAACAATCCTTCAACAAAAGCACTTAATCCTGCTCTACAGGTTAACGCTGGATGGAATCGTTGATAGGCTTCTGCAGCTTTTGGCCGTGGGTCTGCGCAGAATGACAGACATTGCACAGACTCTGCTGTCACAAAATACGCAGTTACTGCAATACTTTTTCATCGCTTTGGATGACAGTTTGCAACAGAAACATCAGCAGTACAAAAGAACCAGCCAAAAGAAAATGGGGTGTCCATTCCTAAACAAGGGGCTTCCTCTGTAGCATCGACATTGTTATGAAAAATCTGATACGGATCAGAAAATTTAACTGTGCAAATTCAAATCAACTTTACAAAAATCACTGATTCCAGATACAAAGGACTCAGCTGCATTTATATTATGAGTGCAACAACAGATATGAAGACAAGCTAAACAGCACACTGATTGATGGACTGATTCTTTTACAGCACTTTTCTAATTTATCTGCGCACTCAAAGATTCACACACGGAGAGCAACTTGGGGTTATTATCTTATATTATCTGCTCAAGGATATTTGACATAGACTGGATGGAACTGCTAACATTCAGATTAGCAGATGACCTGCTCGACCACCTCAGCTACAGCAGCCCCAACTCATTGAACCAAGACTGGACACTCGGCCGTCAATGTTTGCAGACGGGCTATTTTTGTGACCACCACAGAGAGACATCATAATAGCCAGAGGTTTGAATCATAAGAACTGCGTGACTGTCATCTGGTGTGTGTCACTACGTATGATGCAACATAACTGGTGTTTGGTACTAATATTAGTAGTTATTTGTTAGGGCTGTGCGTTATGACCAAAATCTCATATCCCGATATAAAACATTGATCGTCCCGACAACGATATAAATCACAAACATTTTACATTTTCTGTAAATTCTGTGAATCTCAGGCAGCTCGACTTGCATGAAGTGTTTTCAGCTGGGCGTCGTGTGCCTGCAATCGAGTGTTACGTTAATTAAAACAGCCATAATTTTGTTTGTGAGTATTGATTACATGGCACGCTGCAGGAAAAAGCCTGTTCGAAGGTTTATTTTTTAACACCTGACGGCTCTTTTTAGCTTCTCGTCCGTAAACACACTGCATACAACTTCACGTGATTCAGTTTATTTTGAAAAATCTCAACAGGATCTTCAGCTTTATTATGAAAGGTTTATGTGGAAAATAAACAAGCGGACGGCGGAGCCACGCAATGGTTTTACCGACGTTGTTGCTAACGACAACGCATAAGAACAGTCACTTCTGCGTCCGTAGTGTGGTTATTTTAAATATAAGAGGAAGAGAGAAGTTAATTCCACAGTGACCGTCAAATCCTTGAAAAAATGTTGCCGTAAACAGTTTATTTTGTGACACCACAAAACAAACGACAGCGTAAAATGAAACGACAGACGTTTTCTTATCATCATCCGATATATATCGTTATACTGAACAACCCTATTATTTGGTACTAGTTATTTTGTGTTTTTGTACTGCACTTTGGTCCAGGCTGCTGTTGTAATTAAATGTGCCATATAAATAAGTAAATGATAACTCCCATATTTATTTTCTTTAAGTGTTTATTAGCCTTATATAGTTGTAAGTGTTTTGATATTTTTATATTAAATATATGCTGTGAGCCTTATATTGCTATAGTTTCTATTTCATTGGCATTTGGTATCTTATGTTGGGCCTTTGGTCATTTTGTTATTGAAAAGTGTTTTAGATTTTATACACTCATGTTTTATATTTACATTGCTAGTCACCAAGTGCTTTTGATAATTTAACTGAAATGTAAAAAAGAAACAGTACTTTCCATGTTGTAATTATATAGACTATTCACTGAATTTACAAAAATGCACTATATTATGATATACAGTGGGTAAAATAAGTCTTGAACACGTCACCAATTTTCTAAGTAAATTATTTTGAAATGCTGCTTACTTGAAATTCTCACCAGATGTCACTGTGTATATCGTTATCAGGATAAGAACTGGCTTTTAACAGGATAAGAGATTTTGGTCAGTGACAAAGAAATCAGCCAAAAGATTATAGACCACCATATGTAAGAACAGGGTCCTTGTTTCTTCTAGTATGTTTACTGTGTTATCTACAAGAACGTCAAAAGAAATCTTGCATTATAGAATATTACTGATCAACAGAACCTGCAAGATTACACGAGAGGAAAGCAACCACAGCCATTTCTGGATCTAACATTTGTTTTTGGTGTGCACACACATAAGTTCATGCTTTTGAAGTTAACATGTATGTGAGGGAGCAGCTACACTGATCACTACTGAACTCATAAGGGGAAAAATGGATGGCAGGCATTTTTGGACGTTGGCTAGATTTTAATTTCAGGTTTAATTAAAGTATGATTTGCAGAGATGACAGTTTATTCTCTCAACTTTCATCCATCCATTTCCTTGCGCTTCTCCTTTTCAGGGTCGCGGGGGGCGCTGGAGCCTTTCCCAGCTGTCTTGGGGTGAGAGGCAGGGTACTCCCTGGTCAGACAACCAATCGCACTCACATTCACTCCCACATCCACACCTATGGGCAATTTAGTGTTTCCAGTTAACCTATCTCCACTCAACTTTCTATTACATCAATTGTTTTGGTGGATTACAGAATGCTGTGTTAATGAGGACATTACTAAGAATGCAGGAGTCAAGCCATTTTACACAAACTAGACTAAACATGTTAGTAAAATTATTAAAAGTCATAAGAACCAAACAAATATGATAACTGTTTTAGCTGTTCCTGTGTGTCTGAAAGTGGGACATTACCTCCCCAGTGTCTATTTTGCATTCTTTGTATTTCACTTGCACAGTATGTATTATGGAGGGCGGCCAGTGCTGCCTTAATGGTTAGCATGTTTGCCCCCCTGCTTCACAAAAATGGTCTTGGATATTTGCAATCTCAAGCAGGACAACAGAATAATTATGGACATGACGCCCTCCCACCTAGGAGCAAATGCAAATGCACTCCGAAACAAGTGAATCTATGCTAGCACAAAAGAAGAAGACCTTGTGAAGATGCTGAAGGAAACGGGTACAAATGTTCCATTGAAACAAATATGCCAACATAACCTGCATTCCTCAGCAAGGTCAGATTGTCTTTTTTATCTACAAAAAAAGACATAGTGAGGACATGTCTTTGCCTAAGTCCTCTGGTTTATCCTTAACGACTGTTGTACTGACTGGAACTACAAGGACGATGCTTTCAGGCTGGCACAGCTCCAATGGTGATTTATAAGACTGAACATGAGTGCCAAGTGGTAATGTTAATACTGGAGTAACTGACTCGCTGTTACCATCATGAAAAGAGAAGACAGTCCACCACACAACACCCAGTGTTTATGACTCTGTCCACTGAGCCATATAATAGTCCACACCCAGGAAAGGCCTATGCACTGCACCAGAGCTGCATTTGCACGTGTTATTATCCAGGAAATATTCACTAATATTAGCTATAAGAAAAATCCCGTTTTTAGCCCGACCCTTTCAATTAGTATTCTTATTATTAGTAAGCTCTACAGTAAGCAAAGCAAACCCCTATGATCACTGACAGCACGTCACTGTCATTTTACAACACCCGACCAAGCTGCCAAGAGATGAAGAAAAGACAGCGTCACCCTAGAGATAAGAGATGAAGACACGCGCTGAGAAAGCTAGATAGCATTGTTACCTGGAGGGTATACACTCATCACTTTCCCCAGGTATGAGAAACAACCACGGCCTACAGGCACGTCTACAGGACAGGTGTGACAGGTGGAAGCATTCAGCTAATGTTATTCACTGTGGCCTCGGAAGCTACTTTGGCATCTAATTGCCTAAAATAACCAGTGCGGTGTGTTGGGGAACGTCAGGCTGAGCAAACCGGCATCCTGTGTCACTACTGTCGCCCACATAACACAACACCACAGGGTCAGTGTTCTTATCCGCTCGTGGCATTCGTTTTATTTTAGCCAACAACTATCCAAAATCGTTACCTGTTAGCCGTTAGCTAACTCAAGCTGCACAACGACGTAAGGATGTGAAGTCCCACAGCCACACCCACAAATGATGTTGACATTTTTGACAGGTCACTAGTCATCCATCCTTACACATAACCTAAAAGATTACCTCACAGTCACTGCTGCTAACACAACAGCTAGCCCCATTCCTCATTTCAACACTATCTTGACTGTTGGCTAAAATAGCCAGCGCTAGCCTGCTACTGGGTAAGGCTAAGCTAGGTCTTAAACAAAAGGTGTGATCATGTAATACACAGTGAAAAACACAGGACCTATGTTGCTAAGGGCGTTTTTAGAAGCTATATATTCTTACCGAAGAGTCGGACCGACACAAGCTGTGTCGGTGCTTTCAATTTCCTGTAAAATCCGCTCGTGCTCCGTTATGCACTCCAGGGTTTCGCTGTCCGCCATGATTGTTATGTGCATATTACGGCTATCACTGCAGCTACAGCGGAGCATAGGTCAGTGTGAGGTCCGGCCTGTGGGAGGCGCACTACGGTCGTGTTGACCCCGGTGATTGCGGCTTTGTTTCCGCATAGCCTGTGCCTGGTTCCTCAAACATTGTACCACATGGAAAACCACACGGGTTTTGACTGTTTATGATCTTATCATAAATACTGTATAGCGAGTGGTTTGCATGGTTAGTAGTAAAAAACAGGAAAATAATTTGTACTGTCATTCACACGGTACTTGTAATAATAAAGATGCCTGCTATCAAATGAGCTTTAGTGGCTTCTATTTGATTCATCTCAGTTCTGCTGTAGATACATTTTAAATAACAACATGCAGAGGAGGTTATTTACATCTTTATAGTTTGTTTGTTTTTGTTTTGTTAAATCAAGATACAATTCTGGTAAAGCCTGACAAATACTGACGGACACTGACGCTAATAATACTAAGCTTTTTTCACATTAAATGTCTGTAATTGAACTCACAGTTTAATCAAAGCAAACACAGTTTGCATGTGTCCGCTAGCTTCTAAGTGCGTTCTTTCCTGGTCTTGGTATTAAGACAAACCAGCGTTTTAAATGTTGTAATTTAGCTAAATCAGTCCACCTTCAGTTGTGTTCAGCAGATAAATCTTGGGTGTGTTTTGGAGTTTACCTTAAGGTGGTTCCAAGAGGTAAGTCCACAGATTCCAACTCTGCAAAAATATTCCCAAAAGCCTTCTTTTCTTCTTCTTTGCTTTCTGCTTCGCTTTGACGAGGCGGCTCAGGTAAAGCAGCATAGATCCTGTCACTAGCCATTCTCTCTTAGTGAAGTATGTCTTGAGTATGAAGACTAAAAATCTGTACGTGTAAGAGAGGGTGTGTGTGTGTGTGTGTGTGTGTGTGTGTGTGTGTGTGTGTGTGTGTGTGTGTGTGTGTGTGTGTGTGTGTGTATCGTGCAGGGTACCTGCTGTGGTCAGCAGAAAAAAGGGTGCAACAGGAAAAAGAGACCTTGTGATTCACTGAACTTTGAAGCCAACAAAACTAATTTCAGCAGTTCTGTGTTAGTAGCTGTGGCTTTATTCACCTCTGAAAAGTAAAACCACAGCCATCGAGCTGCAGTTGATGTTGCAGATACAGGGCCTGATTTCTTAGTTATTTGTCACACATGAATACTGATCAAAGTGTAATATTATAAAGAGGAAATACAAAAATACAAAATGCAGTTTGATGATGATTTTATCTATTATGGAAAAAAATCTGTCCAAACCTCCCTGGCCTGATGTGACAACGTCATTTTGCCTAAACCTAACACAGAACTGTGATCACTGGAATTTATTATTATTTAATAATAATAATAGTATTAATAATATAATAACATCCATGAGGGGAAACCACTTGTTCAGTGACCTGTAAACCACAGAGCTCCCTTTTCTGTCAGTTTGTTCAGTCTGTTGTTGTCAGCAGCTCCCCCAGCAGACTAACAACTAACTGACAGAAAAACGTCTCCAGTATCTGCTGCGCATGTTAAAGAAAGATAGACTTCCAGTTCAGCCTGGCCTCAGAGTGCAGAGGTGGCAAAAGTACCTAAGGAGAAATACACAGACTTGATTCAACTTCTTTACTGAAGATTACTTAAGATTAAAAAGATTAAAAATTATAACATGTCATCTGTAAATCTGCAGTTTATCAAGTGTCACGAGCAGTCATTACCTTTAATATAACCTCTCTTGTTCCTCTCATGTCTTTTCTTACATTTTTCTCCATCTATGATTGAAATTCGCTCTCTTTCGTTTCCCTCCCTGGAAATCCAACATCTGGACCGTTAGCAACACACTTTGTGACAAACTGTAGTAAATAAACCGTAGTAAATGAGCACAAAAACAATTGAACCTGCTTAGCTATACCATACCGTCACTG